CCGCTGAGGGCAGTGGCGTTTTTCGGAGCGTGCTTCTGCTCGCGCTGCTAATTACTGCTCTCAGCGACGACAACAACGCTTTATATTAGAATAACGGCGATGCGCTGGCGCTTGGCTAAGCGGTGTGCAGCGCAGGGGTAACCAAAACGCTGCCGTGCCAAGCGCGTTCGCACGCACGTGAGTCCCGGGCCAGTGAGACGTTTCTGTGAGAAAGCACAACCCGTGGGAGCCGCCTGCAGGTGTCCGGCGGGGAGAACACGCGAGGGAGGAGAGCGCGGGCCCGCGGGGAGCAGGGCGGGCTGTGGAGGTGCGTGCGGGCCGGCCCGGTGCCGCAGCTGGGCTCCAGCCGCTGCCCGGCGCCGCTGCCCAGAGCGATCAGGTGCTTTTAAGCCGGTCTGGCGGATAGAGCACGATCCCCGCTGCGGGCGCGTTCCTCCTTYGGCTCAGCGCGTTTGCGCGCTCTGGAAGTTAGACGACTCCGGGGTTATGCGGGGGTAAGTGGGGAATAAAGCATGCGGGAGTGCGAAACACAGGCCAGGGAGCCTCTGCCTGCAGGTTCATTAACACACTGGGAGGGGGTGAAGCTGGAAGTGAAGTAAGCAAAAGCCCAGATGCAGCTCCTTAAGAGCATGTATTTATGGTTGATCCTGACCTCAGCTGATTAAGACCCCTTTGCAGGGCATGCAGGGCACAGGGGCTGGTTTACAGATAAAATACTTTATCCTGAGGATGCTGGTAGGTCACACAGCAGTCATGTTCACTCTGTCATCTGGACTGCGAGTCCACTGTTGAGCAAAAGCTCATCTACAGTTGTGTGGACGTGGCTTCAAATTGAGGCAAACCAAGTGAAAAACATGAGGGTTGGCAGGCAGGGGCCAGAGAAGACACTCAAGTTGAGCTGGTCTTAAATGCCAACCCATACCCACGATGTGCACAGCCAGGTAYATGCTGTAAAAAACACCTGCTGCCTAAAGGTTCCCAAAGTGTGGACAGCGGAGAACACGCTATGATACCCTCCTCCCAAGAGGAAACTCTACATAGTGAAACTTAAGGACGTTTGCGCTAGGGGACAATCTAGTGTCTGCAACATGAGACTAACAGAGTGATTCCCTATAGAAATGGAGAAGGAGGCATCCTATTATTTGGAATTAGTAAGAAATGGCTTTAGGGATTGTTCTCTTTGTCCCATTTTTACTACTTTCAGTTTTATTCAAGTTTCAAAGATCTCACACACGCCTTGTCAGCATGCTGGACTTCTAAATTCAGATCACTAAAACACTCTCTTAACTTCCCCAAAATGGTAAAAAATAATAAAAAAAAATCGAAAAAAGTCAAAAAAAACCCCCAAAAAACAGAAAACACCTTCAGCAAACTTAGGGTTTAGTTAAAATCTTGGAAGATGTACCTAAATGATGAGAAAGCAGTTAAACAGCACTCACTGTTTGCACTCCATGTTTAAATAGCTCAGTGTAAATCCTTGTAAAGATTAAGTATTTGCCCTTTATAATTACAGTATCATCTTTCCTGTGGACTGTGCATCTAACATAACATCTAACAGAAATATTACTTTTTGAATGTCTAACATGYGGAGAATCTCTTTCTTCAAAGTTGTGTTATCTGAGCAGCCGATACTTAGTCCTTTTTCTTTGCCTTAACTCTTCCTTATAGTTGATGAAAATACATATGTTCTCACAAGAGTTTACTGTCTCTGTACAGTTTTCCTCCTCACAAGCAGTCTATGGAACGCTCTTTTTTCTACTTTTATTTCCATATACCCCGTTGACCCCGCTCAGCATCACTTACTCTCTTGTTCTGGACAATAAACAAAGTAAGAGAGTCTCTGTCCAGAAAAGCTTAACCACCAACTTGTGGACTCAGCCAGATGCGAGAGCCAGACTCTCCTTCTCTTACCATCTTAACTCAGTGCAAAGAGACATGAGAAGTTCCTGGTGTGTAAATTGTACAAAAATCCCTCATGGACAAAAAAAACCACTCCCCACMCCTTCCCACTGTTCCATAGACATTAGATAAGTAAGCTATGCTCTACCTTGTCCTGGCATCATTAGAACATAAATAGGGATTTTGAAATCTGTTTTTTTTTTTTGTCTTTGTATTTGTGTCTTTTGGGCAGTATGTCCTAGAGTATATAGACCTCCAGCCTTAAGTGGAAGCAGATGGGATATGCAGCTACTCAGTCCATCTGGAGATCAGATCATGTATTAAGTACAAAAATATAGCTAATTAGCTATATAGCTATTAACAGTTTTTTTTTTAATCCATTGATCTTGAAACATTTTACAAGAGTCTTAACAATGTAAGCCCTTTCATTACACAGTACAAGTGACATATATACCTGTGACTTTGGGCTAAAGGACTTGTGCTTGCTGGCTTAGAGTTGTGCAGGACTAAGTTTTCCTCTCCTTGAAAATCCACTTGCAAACACTGAAATCCTACTGCATTTTAGGCATCAGGGCTCCGAAGTGCCAGGTCACTTTGTTGTATGAGGAGTAGACCTGGCTACGAGTACAAAGCCCAGAGAATACTGTAACCACTGGCCTTGCTTGTTCAGTCATAACTTCTGCATGGGACCTGGATCCAGTTCTGTGCCCAGATACCCGATTCTGGCAGATTGTGAGAAGAACAGAAGTTCTAATCCTGGAAAAGGAGCCAAAATTTAGGATCCTAAATTGGTCAGTCACTTTGAAAATACTACCCTTAGCCTTTAGCCTGCTTAATATAATTTTCACAAAGCTGCTCATAGTACACAGTGGGTATTAATGTAATTRAAATATCATGGTATACCACATTGGCAGTGAGAGGTAGTCTCCCAGATCATCTTGTGATTCATAAATAACTTAATATGACTATAAAATGAGKGATTTAGCACTGAGACTTACAGAGTCTAGTTAAAGGCCAAAATTACATTTTTTCATTATGCAAAGCATAAACCTTGAAAGTAGAAAAAMCAAAAAGATACCGCAAGTAAAAAGCCGTTTCCTAAGGATCCAATCACTAGCGGTGTTTGGTTGCTTGATGGTGGTCATTTTTTTCAGTGAAAGATGCCTGTTAAATTATGTTTCTCCTTTAGGTTTTTGGGGACTTGTGAACAACGCAGGAATATCAACATTTGGCGAGACAGGATGGCTCTCCATGGAGAAATACGAAAAATTTGCAGATGTGAATCTTCTTGGGAGCATCAGAACAACCCTGGCCTTTCTTCCTCTTCTAAGGAAATACAAGGGTAATGCTAATCCTCTGTTATTTAGAGTTGTAGAATAATTAGCTTACTATAATCAGGGTAATGTAGTATCTATAAAAGAAGCCTTAATTGTCTCTCATTGAACTGAAATGACAGCTGTGTGGCCTGAAAGAGCAACCTGATCCTGAAAAGAGGGCAAAGTCATAAGCAAAACAAACTAGCAACAAAAAAAGAAAAGAATGATTCTGTCCCTATTTTCCCCCCTTCCAAAGGTACTGTGTTTAGAAACAACAAATTATCTCAAGTTTCGACTTGATGAAGAGAGGAAAAATTTAGTAGGTTATTAACCCCAGTCAAGAYTGTTTAAGCCCTGCCAGCCAGGAAACACCAAGATCCAATAAACTCCTGCTTAACTTCATTATTTAGGCTTTACTCTTCTACTATTCAGGAATTGGGAGAAGGATGATCCTGGAGAGGGAAATGAGGGACATCCAGCTTGCAGTTCCAAACCTAGAAAGATCCAATGACCTTGGACTGACAACTTCAAATATGTAGAAGTGTCAGAGAGCTGCATGGGCAGGAAGCAGAATAAATGCATTTGTATGGAGCTTCACTGTGTGGGCTTTAYCCTAACAAGAAGACATGGTTCAGCTAGCTCTCTTTGGCATTGCAATGTCTTTTATTTAGTTTGAAGTCTGTTCTGTACCCCTGCCCATCTAAATTTGGGAAAAAAAAGACACAATTTTCTTTTCTCCTCCCTTTGCTCAACTTGTATATTTAGGTAGTAAGCTCTTTATTTAGGTAGTAAGCTCTAAGGCAAGGATATGTTCTACTCTTGCATGTACAGCATCAAGCACAGAAAGATCTAGGTTTCACGTGGAATCCCCAGATGTCATTCTCATACAAAACGTTGGTAAGATAAAAGCATCTTCTTTTTGACTACTCAGTTGCCTGCAGCTGATTTTTGATGCAAGAAAAAAAAACTTTTAAATGCTGCCAGATGGATGTGTTTTTCTGAAAGAACATGCCACTGTGAAAAACAATGCTCAGTGAAAAACGCTCAGTGAAACGCTCAGTGAAAAACAATGTATATGAGACGTGGTCATTACATGGAAGACTTCACTTTCTTTGATGACCTACCTGCTGCTTAAACTCTACAATGTGGATCCACCAGAGGCGTCTGTCACACTTTATGAATTGCATGGAGCTACTTTAAAGGAAAAGGGACTGCTTATGTGTATGATGTTAAGCATGCATGTAAACCTTTGGGAGATTTCGTCTGAATAGTTACATCTACATAGTTTCTTCCCTGCAAGTTCTTATCCATCCAGCCAAAAGGATGATATTTCCCTCCAGCCTAGAATTAAGCACTCAGCTCCCCAAGGTGAGCAACATTTTCCCATAACTTTTCCAGTGGCCAGCTGAGATAAGATCTTGATCAGCAAGCTGGTAATTGCATTCCTATTTTGATATATCTGACAACCTATACACTATAGAAGAAGGCAGGGAACCTAATTCAGAATGATAGTTTGCACTGCATTGCCATGATACCCACTGGTACCCCAAAAGTTTATAACATTTGGGCAGATTTGGGCTCAGGCAATAGCAATGGAACCACTTTCTTGGAACCATTGCTTGTGAGGCTYGTTCTCTCTCACCGCTAGTATTTGTATATCCACATTCACAGACTTCTCATTCTGTGGTATAATTATTTAATGGAAGGTTAAAAGGGAACAGAAACGGACCAAAGCCCAGGACCTAAAATCAGAATTCACCCATATTCAGCGCATGCATGCATTTGGCAAAAGTTATACAGGAAAAAAAGCAGAAAAAATCAGGGAAATCATAGCAAGRCAGTATAAAGCTGTATCCTTCGCGTCAAGTCACCTTTTTCTGGTTTATAACTCTAGTGGCTTCTAACTCTAGTGACCTTATATGCACAGCTATAATGCAGAACTTGGTACAGAGACATCATTAGGACAGAAAAAAAAAAGTCATTAGTAGTCATATATTCGTCACAAGGAGAATCATAGAATCCTTAAGGTTGGAAGAGACCTTTAGAGATTATTTGGTCCAACCCCCCTGCACACACAGGGTCACCTATAGCATGTGGCTCAGGATTGTGTCTAAGCAGGTCTTGAAGATCTCCAGAGAAGGAGATTCCACAACCTCTCTGGGCAGCCTRTTCAGTGCTCTGTCACCCTCACTGTCAAAAAAWTTTTCCTTAAGAATCATCTCATGCTTCTCTCCTCTGGCTACTTGTCTGCTATTACTGGTGTTATCTAGTGTTATTTTTCTATCCCAAGGTTTTAGGGGACTGTTTCTATTGCTTTCATCCTCTGATACCGAGTGGATTGACACAGGAGGAGTTAGAAGGAAGCTGGAACATGTTACCCTTTATTCTTGTGCAGTATCTGCCAACAGGAGGAACAAAGTTTTCTGCAGGAAGCCCTGTCCTCCCTGCCTTGCCAGACTGCACACGCTGTTGTGCTGTGGCTTTGTCCTTACCCAGCCCAGCTCTGCCATTCTATACAATAAAACAGCATCCCACTACCTGGCATGTTATTAGCAGGTCAGAAGATTCAGGTAAATAGATTCTAAGTTAAGGTAAAGACCAAGAATGGAAAGTTATGGTATTTGCACTTTTCTTTCCAGGACGCATTGTTTTTATGTCCAGCATTATTGCCTATTTTACTCTGGGAAATGGCATTTATTCTATGACCAAGGCAGCTATGGAAAAATTTTGTGATGCTCTAAGATTGGAAATGAAAAAGTTTGGTGTTCTGGTAAGTGAAATAATTAGTAGCTGTGGTGTGGAAATTGTGGTATTTCAAACGTTTTTTTCCTAGGAGAAAGAATTACGGTTCACTCCTGAAACTTCCCACAGAGCTAAAATGTGTCTTCTGCTTTTGGAGAAGGAAGTAAGCAGCTTGCACAAATACTGGGCAGTGGTGTGGGGATGCAAACTTTGGCCAAGGGAACAAGAGTGAGCTTATGGAAAATGGTATCTAATCTTGTGCAAATAAGCTCCATTTATCCAATTAAAAAAGAACAGAGCAGCTTGCCTGAATCTGTGGATGCAGCCTCCCCTTGTAAAGCGGYGGTTGCTCTGCACGTCTCTGCACGTTAAAAGCCATGGGAGAGAGAGGGCTCAGGTGRTGCTTGCAGAAGGGAGAAGCTGTGAGGTGTTTTTTTCCTCTGTGCCAGCCCCTACAGCTACCACCCCTTCTCCACAGCCTCTCCATTGACCCAGCTTTGTGAGGCAGGCCCAGGCATGCGATACTTGTGCTCTGAGAAGAGCCTGTAACAGCACAAACTAACCAAARTTTGCTTTCTCTGGGTAGTTGCTGGAAGCCAAAACCCCAGGTGTGGTGAGGAGTTCTGTCACTCATCACACCGGTAGTTAAAGGTTCCTTCCTTTTGCTGGGAACAGCTACACTGCAAGACACAGCATTCACATAGAGTAATTACGTTTTTACTCTCTTAATCTAAGCAGCACTAAGAGTGCTCTTAGTGCTCTAACTAAGCAACACTGATAGTCAAGCCTTGAGCTTAGACCAGTAAGCAGCTTGACTAGGCTTTTTTCTTGGGAGTCACTCTGCTGCAGAAGCGCTCTTGAAATACTGTTTTTCCCTGAAGGATTTACATTGGTATACTGTCTACATATGGACAGTTACAGCATTGTTCATGAGCCTTGCATTGGAAGAAATTAAAGCTATGCATCTGTTAACTGCCTCTTTTGGAGAAATATAAAACAGTCTAAAATGCAAGTGATCTTACACATCATAATACCACACAGCATGATGAGGATTGGAACTGATTAGCAGAGGATAATCTTAAGTGCATGGAAGAGCTTAGTTTAACAGGTTAATTACTCTGGTCTACTTAAGATTTTTACTCTTCCCCCACCCCCAGGATAACCCTTACAAACAATATAGTGAGCCCAACTGACAAACATTTCCAAAATAGCCACAGAAATTCCTTATCTACCTTGGACTGTGTGCTASACCCTGGCTAGCATTTGCTTCACACCCTGCCCCGCAAGGAGACAGCGGGGCACGGGTTCCCTCTCCTCCGTGCTGCCCTTCTCTGCTCTGACGTTGCCCTTCTCCTCTGAGGAGATAGTGGCCCAGAAGTGGCAGGGAACAGATGGAGCGATGACTCTCTCACCCTGAACTCTGGCCRTGCAAGCTGGCTGCCTGCAGAAAGCTAAGCGCGTGCCTTCCATCTAAAGGCTACAGTAAGTAGGCAAAGGGAAAAAAGTACAGTCTACCCATCTCTTTCAGACAACTCCAAAAAGCTCCACAACACAGTTTTCAAAGGCCCTTGACATGGAATATACCTGTGTTAAGTTTCATCTTGGCATTAGCTTGATCGAGAAAGAAACACTTTTGAARATAGCACCCAAAGCAAAGGCTCTAACAAACTTAGCCAAGGCAACACCAGACGTATCTGGCTATGGGCTCCCCGTGTCCAGTYCCACTGCGTATAGACCCTGCACCTCAGCCCCTTCAGCACATTAGCACAAGCCCCTGGTTACTAGGAAGGTAGAGAGTCTGCCCCATGCCCTACCACACAATGGCTGGTAGCCTCTGGTAGATGGACTGGATGGTAGATTGGGAGCACTGAGGATATAAATTGCCACAGACACTCTAGAGGACGTTTGTCAGRTCCCCGAGTCTCTTACACAGCTAAGCACCATTTTTCTTCATCTTGTGTCCTTAGTCYTTAGTCTTAACCACAGCAGCAGTTGAATGCCATGATGTATGAGCAAATAGTGAATGTGCTGTTAACTCCCATATTCCAGGAAACACACACAWACTGCAAGTGCTAAGCTGGCTCTAAAAGTCTCCAGAAATCCCAGAGGTCAACAGAACTGCAGCAGCAAGGCACACAAGCAGCGCCTAAGCTGAGCAACAAAGGATTTGTATACTGTGGATTTGAACATACACACAGAGAAACCTATAGAAATTTCCTAATTATTTCAGCAGTCCTCTCTGAACCTCTCCAAMCTATTTTTTAATACACCTACTTGGGTAAAAAAAGCCCTGCTTCTGTTTCCCAGAAATTTCTAATATTTTGACGTCTTCTTTTGTCCCAGAATTGGGGCAAAGTATCACCAATTTTAGGATTTGCCAGACTGAAAAATCCAAACTACTCTGCTTTGAAGGCATCAAAGTTGGATTGAAATGCTTTGTCTCGGTATTGTAAAAATATTTATGCTATTAAGCATTCTATAAAAAGACATAACATTGCATTTGTGAAGGTATGCTAAGTAGGTGAATCAAGAACATTAACGTTAGATTGAAATAGGAAAGGCAGAATGAAGCACCTCTGAAATTTTAAGTGTTTCTTTCAATCAAAATACTTGATTTCGGTGAGGTTCTCAAGGTTAAAATTTCACTGAAAGAGACACTTTCTCTTTCTTTCTCTGAAAGAGAGAAGCCTATCTATGGAAAGCTTTTGACACATTTCACTGTTTATGTTATTTGATTGAATTCAGAATGTATGATTACATTTTGATAAGTTTCACATCTTGCTTTTAGGTCTGTATTATTCAGCCTGGAAATTATGCACGTTCTACAAAAATTCAGCCGCCAGTCAGTGCAGAGGAGATTTGGAATGAACTCAGTGAAGAGGAAAAGGAAGTTTACAATAAAGAATATGTTGAAGAGCGGGCAAACTTTTTCAACAGCATTGTCAATGCAGGCAGCACTAAGGGCAATGAAGTTGTAGATGCTATGGTACATGCTTTAATGTCTCCTGCGCCCAAGGCACGCTATATGGTTGCAAAACTAAAGGAAAAACTACTGGTGTTTGTATGTGCTTGGTTTCCTACTGTCGTAATGGATTCAATTTTATCTTATGCACTGAGTAACGTAAAGCTCACGTAGCCAACATTGGTGCTGCTCAGTGACGCGGACTGGGTCACTTTTTAGACTATAATGACTTAATGCCCCTCCAAAAATCAGGCTAATAACAACAGTTAACTCACACGAACATTGTAGGGTATCCTAGTACATCAGTTAACTCACATGAACGTTGTAGGGTATCCTAGTCAGAACTGTGACTTTTTTTTGTAGGGGAACACATCTAGGACCTCATATAAAACTAATATATTTGTCTAGGTAGCTGTGTTTTTCCCAAGAGGAAAAAAAACAGGCCCCTTATGCTGCTTTTAGGTATTGCCTAGAAAATGTAATGCATTTTTTTCTACTGCGATACCAAGTTACTATGTTAGAGACTTGGAAAGACAAAATGGAGCACAGCCTACAGGGCAGCTGCCTCCCAGTATTCATTAGAGCAGAGATGGAAATACCTTATATTTTTAGAAACCTTTATAGTATTTTTTAGGGGAGAGGGAATGAGTTTAATGGAAAAGTTAGGAACCAGCAACAGACCTTTAAATACTTTGAATGGAGTCAAGCACCTGTAGGAAGTTAGGAAGTGTCAAATGTTGTAGCATTCATACCAATTGCTGTAGTATTCTTACCAAAGGCTGGCCAGCTGTTGGCTTGGCTAACTATTATTCAGTACTTTTTTTCTGATGTTAGGCATAAATCTATAACAAAGCCAAATGTTTGGCTATTTTGAAAAATAGCACATTCCATTTACAAATGGACTTCAATCCTAAATCTAATGTGAAGATTAATCAATGCTTTAATCTAAAATGTAGTCAAAAAAACAAATACTAAGGTCATAGATAGTCAGTATCATGCAGGAACAACTTGTGGCTTAAAAAGAGCCTTTTTGGCCTGGAGCTCTGTTTTTCTCCTGATACTATAGGTCTTAGGGTCTGATGGGACAAAATRTCTATTAGCACAAATGGGAAAATTTTGGTAAGGGAGATATGCCTGGGGGAATCATTGAGTGCACTGGCTTCATTAGCAGTCTCTTATTAACAAGTTTGGAAAAGATTTCTGGTTTACAGTTTTAAATCTGGCTTGGAACAAAATCCAAGAACTCTTGGAGCAGGGAATCGCAGAAGAGCTGGCAGTTCCACTGTGGAGTCTCTTGTGGATACAGGGCGGCCGCCTGAGCCACTAGCTTCCCTGTCCAGGCCTCCCACATCGCATCAGAAGCTCTGGTTTAAGTTCACCTAGTTAACTTCTTCATCTGAGCCAGAAATCATATCCTAATGTATTTATTACTGAGGTTTGTACCATTTTCAGCTTTTATTCTAATGAAGTATTTCGGTTTTGATGATGCAATACTTTCCAATAAAATCTATGCAACTGAGAAAAAAAAAATCTGTTTATCCTGGTGGTTAATTTGACAGCCTGAGACAGGAACATCAGTGAGATGATGTGGACTGACTATTCCAGTTCCTCTCCTGATGGCATTTTGCAGTGGAACTGCCTTTCTAATGTACCTTTTTTAGCTTGTTGTTTAGCATTTTACTTCTTTTCCCCAGTGCTGGAGGCATCCCGCTAGCTGGCGTTGATTAGAAGGCTTCCCTTCCATTTCACTGCCAGTCAACAACAGCAGAATTACGGGATTACTCTTGTCTGCTCTCCTCATTTAACCACAACTGAGCAAGGCCAAGCAAGGAAAGAGGAGCAAGGCTTATTCCATTTAAACCAATCGATTTCATGTCCAGGAACTCACCCAACTTGACCCTAGGGATTTCAGCAGTCCTTATGCTGCATTGGAAGAGTGGGTTTCATGCTTTTAACACATCCCTTGTGCAGATTGCCTTTCTGCACGGTAAGTAGCACCTAATGCAACACGCAGCTTTGAAATCCAGCAATTTCTCCATCATGCCTAGACTCCATGTGATCTTTCCGATCTCYGTCTCAGGGATAATGTTGCTTTCCATTATATGTTCCACCTGCCATTTGCATTTCTAAAATTACCACAAACCACTCAGTGTTGCTGAGATCTTGCTCCTTAGAAGAGCTGCCTGACCGCCAGGGTGTCACCAGCTGCGTATCTGCCGTGCTGTTGGGTAGGGGATGTCTCTCCCAGTAATCCTGTGACCCTGAAATCAGCTTTACCTTCACCCAAGCTAAAGCCCAGACACTTACAAGAAGCAGCATCCCAAGTAAGGAACAGTTTTATGAAACATTTACGTAACAAAAATGAAAGAAAAAAACATATATTAACAGTGCGATCAAATCTGAAACACTCCCTTGCAGTATCCAGCTAAGCTGCTGTAGATGCTTTCTGGCACCAACCTAAACAGAGATTACACAACCCAGAGTGAACTCCTGAGTAGATGTGTTGGCTCAATCTTCTTTTCTAAGCTTTCCTGAAAGATTTGGAAAAAGCAAACAAAACAAACAAACAAGACCCCCCCACAACCATCTTTGTCTTGTAGGAACCACCACAAAACAGACAGAGCTATCCTCTTTTCTGTGGACACAATATCCAGGAAACACTGTGGGCTACAGAGTATTTTACTAAGAATATGATCATGTACATGCATCTGTGCGCACGTGGACTTTGCAGAGTTCCTAGAGAGTAAATCCCAGCTATTGTAGCGTTTTCTTACTAAGCACTTATATCAGTTATTTCATGGACTTCCCATGAGAACATGGGGAAAAACTTCTTTCCTGTGATGGTGAAAGAGCACTGAAGCAACCATTGCAACCATGCCCRGCCTGCGTCGCCAGCAGCAGGAGCACCTCATCCTCTATTGCAGCGTTACTTTGTCAGAGTTTCACTGAGACTTTGCMATGTTAATACCTGCTGCCCACCTGAACGCAATCTCAAGCTTCAGTGTAACTCACTGCAACACCTCAGACTTCCAGAATTAGCCAAATGCAGATGCTTGTATCACTCCTTCATGCTGGCAAATCTGAACAAAGGAGATTTTGGTGTAACACACCATGCAGTGGAATCTTTGCAGTAGCATCAGAATCTAAACAGATGCGTAATAATAATAATRACTTGGAMAAAAWAAAAAAAAAAAAAAAAGCTTAAATAAAAAGACACAATGCAATCCCAAAACACACATTCCAGCTAAAGTCATGCCATCATCTAGTCTAGCTCCCTGAGGAGCCTCCAGTAACTGAGGTCAGCAGGGCTCTCAAGTGACAGGACGCACAAGAGGTTTTTCCATACACAGGCTCCTTCCAGAGGTGGGTCAGGAGGCTTCTTCTAGCATCCYGTTCTTTTACATACACAGATAAAGCAGCACAATACAAATACAACAAGATATAGTAAGAATAATAACWGCATTGTTCACTTTTTCTGAAAAGTAACTTTTTAGCACATCAGTCTGGCACCTTATGCTAGCACCAAACAAAAGTCTGAACAGCCTTTATATCTCTCTATATAGATATAGTTGGGGTTTTTTTTTGGTATTTTTTTTTTTCCCGAAGCTTTCATCACCTCCTTTTAATCAGTGAAATCTTTTCATTTATGTTTACGTCAGCCTGGTGCCATAGGACAAGTATATAGGTGGTGGAAATTTTGCCGCCATAATAAAATGAGGTATATATTATAGGAACAATTGAGGTTAATGTTAAAAAAWCCTCCATAAAACAAGGCGGGAAACAAATACCCTCCTCATGAATTAACATTCTGTTGAATAGCCCCAATAAGAAACTACTTTCCACCTGATTATCTTATTAATTCCAGATATGGTGGTTTAAATACAGCAACCTGGTCTGAGTTCTCCACATAGCRTTCATCCAGGTAACCATGAATCCAGTGGAGCACCTCTTGGTTTGTCCTAGGAGCAGAGTGGCTTCCTGACTGTGAGGTACCAGAGACATCCATGTGCAGGAAAGGAGGCTACCTGCTTAGGGCATACAAGAAAAAGGTGCCTCAAGGCCATCCCCATTTACACCAGTTATTTGACTAACTCAGGACAKCAGTGCCTCTCACATTAAGGCTGTCAAAAAGACCCCAGTAGCTTAAAGCTACAGACCTCTGAGTAATTTTCTATGAGTTTTATTTGTTTCTAAAGGTTGGGAATACTCTGAGGTTTTTCCAATGTGATTTTGATCTCATTTCTTTTGGAGTTATTGCAGTACCCTAACACCCAAGCAGCAGCTGGCAAGGCRGAAGCTCTGTGCTCCTGAAGCATCTGAAATATCCAACATGATATTCTGCTAGTGGAAAAGAAAGGATGTTTCCTGTCTTGAGTCATAAGTCCTCATTATCATCCTCAAAAAGCTCCCAGGAAGAAAAGCACATGAGAAAATAAGTATAAAAATGTAAGCATCTCCCTCAAAAACAGTCATACACACACCTGCACTTGGGATGAAATACCAGGTCTCCATGCTTCCTACAACTTAAGCCCTGAGCTGCCTTAATTTAGAGTGAAGTGATGCAGGTGTTACAGGTTAACTGTTACAGACAGATTTGGTTGTTGAAACATTGGTCCAAAATCTCAAAATACACATGCCTAGCTTTTCTAACAGGTATTTTATTTGCACTAATCTACAAGGAGCTTTCACTTGTATCTTTAGGCTGAGACACTGGTGTCTCCTAGCCTGTGCCAACAGCATAATCAGAAAGTTCACAATATTACCCAAAACAGGCAAGGGCATCGATGCTGCTCACAGCTCCTGCTGGGCATTAGCAGGCTCCCTTTGCCATCAGCCACCCTCCCAGCTGTGCGTCGCCACCTCCCAAGGAGCAGGTATTTCATACACGGGAAAGACGTGGCCCTTGGACACCTTAACACAGGCATCTCAGCAGCCTGCAGTGGTGAGGTGTAAGCCCAAGCCTGGCTGTGGTAGCCTGGTGCTGTCCTGCACAGACCAGCGAGCTCCAGGCACCAGGTGGCTAGCGGAGAGCACGTTTAACACAACGGGAAGAGCCGTGGCCAGGTCTTGGCTGGCTCAGAAGTGCCATTTTTTGCAGTGTACCTTCTGATCACAAGATATTTCAAAGTATTTCTGCTTCACTTCAGTTAAATAGCTTTGAGCATTATTTCCCCCTGYTAATGCATACACTTCTCCTTTGTGTCAGGTCACTGAGTGACAGTGTTTCATGGCAAGGCCGCCGCATGCCTTGCATGGTGCTGCGATGTGACACTGCCTCAGGGAAGAGCCACAGCCTCCCCAAGGCCTTTCCATGGTGGCCAGGGATTATTYGGGGAATCACTGACACTGCAAGACTGCCACACGGCTCCCCATGGGACGAGGAGCGGAGGTGGCCACAAAGCAGCTCACTTAGTGCGAGGTGCTGCTAGGAGAAAGCCCAGCGCCATCACATGGTGCTGCCCACCAGGCTCACACCCTGGCACAGG